GACAGGTCTTACTATGTAGTTCAGGCTGGCCTGGGACTCATGGCACTCTTCCTGCCTCAACCTCCCAGTGCTGGGATCACAGGCATTTGCCACCATGCCCTGCTGGTGTTTTATTTTTAATTTTTATTTTTTTTTCCAGTTTTTTGGAGTTTTTCCCGGTATCGGGAATCGAACTCATGACCTCGCACTTGCCAAGCAGGCGCTTTGCCGCTGAGCTAAATCCCCAGCCCCTGGTGTTGTTAATTTGTTGGGTTTCTTGACAGCTGTCTCCTGGACTATGTTGGGCCCCTCTTCTGGGCAGCCCTAGTGCCTAGCTTCTCAGCTTGGGTATTTATTATGCGGTGTTTATGGCACAAGTAGAAAGCAGTCCACCAGAATGTGCCACACCGTTTCCCCCTCCTGCTCTGAGGGGCGGACACACACTGGCTCCTGCAGAAGAAATGTGAGCAGCGACTGTTGTGTCACTTCCACACCTCTTTTTAGGAAGTGGGCGTGGCTCTACCCAGCTGTGCAGAGATGATGGTGATGGACCTCTAGGGAATGGTGGCCACCAAGGGAGGAGAGGCGGGGGCCCTGGGTCTTGAGGGAGGGAAGCACCTTCTGTCCTGTCTGCAGGGGAGCCTGGGGAAGCCATTTGTCCAGCAGCTGACTGAATGCGGATAGCACCTTGCTAGACCCGTCTTACAGGACAAGCAGGAATCCCTGCTGGGATGGGTGGGGCCAGGAGCAGGAAGACCTCAGTGATTCACTAGCGACTGAGGCGACTCAGGTATGGCTCAGCCACAGAGGCTACAGGGCTCTCCCAGAGCTGAGTTCTGTGTTAGTTTGGTTATTCTGTGACTGGTTCTTACTTTATAGTCCAGGCTGGCCTTGAACTCACTATGTAGCCCAGATTGGCCTTGATTGCATGGCAATTCTCCTGCCTCAGCCTTCTGAGTACTAGGATGACAGGTGTGTGCCATCATGCCTGGCTTTTTTTTTTTAACTTATTTTTTCTTTTGTTTTTTTCTGAGATACGGTCTCACTATGTAGTCTAGACTAGTCTTCAACTCATTATGCAGCACAGGCCAGCCTCGAACTCAAGGGAATCCTCCTGCCTCAGCCTCTTGAGGGCTGGGATGACAGGCATGCACCAGCATGCCTGGCAAAGGACCATTTTTTGAGCACGTGGATTTGGAGCAGAGTGGCTGCGCAATGCAGGGCCTCCCTGGAGCGACACTTGAACTGAGACTCAGATGGAATGAAGGGAGCTGGGCACACACCTGGATCCCAGCACTCAGGAGGCTGATGCAGGAGGGTTGCAAGTTCTAACCCTGCCTGGGCTACATAGTGAGTTTGGTCATGGGCCTCAAAAAAAAAAAAAAAAAAAAAAGAAAAGCAAGCAAAACTCAGTTTCCTGGAGTCCAGGATAAACATGCTGGTTTCTGGAGGGTGCTGCCCTCTTCACCGCTCACTGTCTTGTCGCTGTCCTCATGGGCGTCCTCCGTGGGCACTGAGAGGGCAGGTGCTGCAGGCCCTCGGGTGTCCATCCAGGAGGAGCACAGGTCCTGTGGGATCAGCACCTCCTCGAAAGATTTCCCAAGGTGAGGCTCAGCTTCTTCCGGTTTCAACACAGGCACTGGGGTAGGGGTATCGGAGGCGCTTGGAACGGGGGCCATGACTGTCCCTGTCACTTGAGGATCTGTTTCTGGCCTCAGCCACACTGGACGCCTTGTATGTTGGGTACACTCCTAGGCACTGGTGTGGGCGTGGGATCTTGCTATTCCTAAGGCCAGGATGCAGACACGACCCGAATGATCACCAGCCAATGAGCAAATAATGAAAATATAGTTCATCTTATTCAACCATAAGAAGGCCGGATGCAGTGGTGCACGCCTGGGATCTCAGCACTTAGGAGGCTGAGACAGGAAGGAGTTCAAGGCCAGCCTGGGCCACATAGCGAGTGTCTGAAGTACACAGCGAGGAGACCCTGTCTCAAAAACAAAAGCAAACCAACAAAAAAAAGGAAACAAACAATTCTCCTTTCTTTATAACGTACCCTACCCAGTCTGCAGGGAATAAAGGGCAAAGAGACTTGGGGGAAGGAGAAGCAGGCACCAGGGCACGTTAGGAGACGAGTGGATTCTCAGTTGAACCAGTGGTCGGGTTCCCACACAGGGTTGCCAGTTCAAATACAAGGGCTTAGTAAATCTGCATTTCAGTCGATGCAAGTGATACTTCAGCCCAAGCATTTGTATTTCTACATCTGAGAGCCCCGGGCCTGCGGATGCCTCCAGCGAGCCCACAGAGCAGGTGATGAGGAGGGCGAAGCCGACTTCACCGCTCCGCTCCTCCAAATCCTGAGTCGTCCTGGTCAGACTCGCCTGGGGATTTGTTAGCTTCCTAGCACTGTAGCAAACTCAGAAAGGATCACATTGTAAAGAGAAAAGGCGCCAGGCACGGTGGTTCATGCCTGTCATCCCAGCACTCTGGCAGGCTGAGGCAGGAGGATCACAAGTTTGAGCCCAGCCTGGGCAACTTGGTGATTTATCAAGACCTCCCTTTAGGGGCCATCTAAGGTCCAGGCTCTAGCAAAGGGGTACAGGCCCCCTACATTCCTGGGCTCTACTACCTGGCTCTGCTAGGTGGCCACTGGACAGGCAAGGCCCTCTGAGTCCATTCAAGAAGGACCTGGGCCTGGCTCTGCTTCAGCCCCTGATGAGACCAGCCCCAGGCAGTGGTGACCTTCCTTGAAGCAGAGTGACAGCCCGCAGGTGGGGGTGGTGAGCAAGGAGGAAAGGGAAGGGAGAAGGTGCAGATGCACGACTGGACAGAGGGGCTCCAGATTGCATCCAGCTTTTTACTTTTCTTCTTTTGACTTTTCTTTTTCTTTTTTTTTGAGACAAGATCTTATTGCGTAGTTCAGGCTGTCCTTGAACGCATTATGTAGCCTCTGCTGGCCTCCAACTTGTGGCAATCGTCCTGTCTCAGCCTTCTAAGTGCTGGGTTTACAGGCCTGTGCACCACTACACCCGGTTTGACTTTGGCTTCTTTGATGGTCTAAATATTAGTGTGCCCCTGCTGGTCCCACAGAACATATCTGCACTGACGCTTCACCCCTAAGCTGATGGCTGTGAGAGCTGGGGGGGGGGGCTCTGGGAGGTGTATTAGTTGGCTTTCTCGTTGCTGGAACAAAATCCCCAACACTCACAATTTGAAGGAGGAGAGGTTGATTTGGCTCACAGTTGCTCCTGGGTCCGTCCATGGCTAGTGGGCACCACCCCCAAGGTGGGAAAGCCTGGCAGAGGAGAGGTGCTCACCCCACGGCAGCCAGAAAGCAGGTAACCTAGGAGGCGCCAGGGACAAGAATAGCCCTTTCAGGGTCATGAGCCAGGGACCAGCCCTTTCCAACCAGACCCACCTTCCTTTAGACACATGAGATTTGTGGGGGACATTTTATTTATTTGTTTTTTTGGTAGGGGACATTTTAGACCTAAACCATGACCCGGGGTGAAGTCACTTAATGGGATTGGTAGCCTGACAAAATGGCCTGAGGGCTAGGTGTGGTGATGCACACCTGTCAACTCAGCGCTCAGGAGGCTGAGGCAGGAGAATTACCTTAAATTTGAGGCCAGCTTGAGCTATGTAGTGAGACCTTGTCTCAGAAAACAAGTTGTCAATGAAGCTTAACTGTCCTAATTGTGTTCTGTGCCTTGCTTTATAGTATAACAATATCTCTTAATCTATTTCCTGTTCAGAAAAAAAAATACAGCGCAGTGCCACTGTTCATTGAATTTTCAGGGATTGAGACTTACTATGTATATTTGTTTTCTTTTCTTTCTTTTTTTTTTTTTTTTTTGCACCACCACACCCAGCTGCCTCAGGCTCTTGAGTGCCTGCATCACAGGCATGTGCCTACCACACCTGGCTGGTCCCTCCCTCTCTTTTTTGAGACATAGGTTATTGAACACAGGGTCTTTGCACTGAGCCAAGTCCCTAGACTTTAAATTTTTTTTTTTTTTTTTTTTGAGACAGGTTCTTGCTAATGCTGGGTTTGAATTTATAACCCTCCTGCCCCAGCCTTCCAGAGTTCAGGGGTTCCAGGTGTTCGCCACTGTGCTCTTTGTGTCATTTAAAGACACTTGTCACTGGATGTACGTCTCATCCAGATGATTCTCATCTTGAGATCCATGATCCATAAAATCCTTCCACAAATTAGGTCGCAGTCACAAGCTGGACGTGGTGGTGCACGCCTGTTGTCCCAGCATTTGGGAGGCTGAGGCAGGAGGATTGCCACGAGTTTGACGCCAGCCTGAACTACATAGTCTTACTATCTCAAAAAAAACAGGAAAAAGAAAGAAAAGGAAAACAAAGGTCACAGTCACAGGCGCTGGGACATAGCACCTCCACTTTGTAGGTCTGTTTACCCGCTACAGGATTAAAGGAAGGTTTCAAGGTTTTGGAGTGGACCGACGTAAAGAGTGCTGCTCTCGGAAGTCAGACAGGAAAGGGCTATCACAAGACAGAGATCAGCTCCGTGCCGGCTCTGGATGGGAGGAGCCAAGTGCAGGGTCTCAGTTCCTCATGTGTGAAATGGTGATAATGGTCACCCCTTAAGTGTCCCTTAAAGTAGGAACAAATGGAGACAGCAAGAGATGTGGTATACAAGTGCACAGTATGATTGCCCTCCCTTCTCCTCTCTAAATCCACCTAATAATACTGTGTCCAGCCAGGTGGGGTGGCGCACCCCTGTAATTGCAGCACTCACGAGGCTGAGGCAGGAGGATCGCCAGGAGGTGGCGACCAGCATGGGCTACAAGGCTAGACTACGTCTCAAAAAAGAAAAAAAACAAACACCGCCCCCGCCATCCCCAGCACAAAAACACCGTCACTACTTGGAGATTTCCCCTTGGGGTTAGTCCTTCAACAGTAAGCTTTGTGGGTCCTGCACAGCTCGGGGCATCCAATAGGACTACTTGGATGAGTGATTAGGACTTTCGCGAGAGATACAGTGCTGTAAAGCTAGTTTCCCTTCGTTCTCGCTCCTCTGGCATTGTTTATTCTGGGGTGAAAGGAACGCTGAGAAATCGTTCCCGGGTCCAACATGGCGCTGTCCTGTTCCTTGTACTGGCCTCAAACATGGCGACCTCCAATGGGGGCAGACATATTTGGATCACGTGACCCAATTCTAAGCCCGAGGTGGCCGGAACGTGACGCAAGATTGAGGCGGAGCTTCATCCCTGCCCTCTGGCGTCGAGCGTCTCGTGACAGGCACTTCCGCTCGGGGCGGCGGCGGTGGCGGAAGTGGGAGCGGGGCCGGAGTCTTGGCCATAAAGCCCGAGGCGGCGGCGACGGCGGCGGTGTTGAGCTTAGGAGAGCGCGGCGGAGCCTGCGGAAAGCAGAACTTGGTCTTCTCTGCCCCTGCCCTCCGTTGTGTCCTCGGCGGGAGCCCTTGCGACGCACACGGCCCGGAGTCCCCAGCGCAGCGGCCGCGGTAAGCAGCGGGCCCAGGTTGGCCCCATCCCCCTCTCCGCCCCTCTGTCGCCGGGCCTCGCGTCCTCTCTGTCCTCCGTTGACGCGCGGTCCCGTTTGCGCCCTGGGGGAACCTCACAGTCGCCCAGGCCTCTGGGTCAGGCCTGACCGCGCCCGTCGGGAGAGGTCAGAGGTCGCCGGGCGTGCCCTCCCGGGTCGCAGACCCCAGGCCTCGGATCCTGGGCGCCTTGTTTACCGGTGGCTTCGAGATCCGGGCCCAGGAGGATGTCCTGACTCTGCCGCCCTGGGCAGTTGTGTAGGCGCCGTTCCCACCCGCAGTGGTGTCGCCGATCGCGGACGCGGGGGACAGGCGCCCAGGACTGAGCCACAGCCCCATCTGTGTCCTCTGTAAACAGCCTGACCCTGTTAAGGGCAGAGGGTCCCAGGCGACCACCGAGTCCCGGCGGTGAGTCGGGTGCTGTGCGCTGGACTTGTCCCAGACACTTGTGTCTCTGCAAGGCGCTGCAGCCCCGAGAGACAGGGAACTTGAACCTTTGTCACCGCATGGACAGCAAATCCGGAGAGAAGTTTCCAAAGTTACTAGGGGAAGATGGTGGTAGGTTGAAGAGCTGTGTTTGGATTCCGGTCGCCTTGGAGACCACAGGGTGCATTCAGTTAAGGCTGGATACCTAAGGGTTCGTGGAAGTGGGAATACTTGTAAAAACAGTGGCAAAGACCTGAGTGTTTGTTGTATGCTGGGCAGCGCCACAAGACCTTAACACATTGTTATTAGTTCTCTGACCAACTCAAATACTGCAGTTGTGCCCACTTAGAGGTAGAGAACTTAAAAAACAGAGAAAGAAGGAGAAGTTGAGCCGTTTGTTCAAGGTCAGGCGGCTGATCAGTGAGACCAGAGAGATTCAAGCCCCGGAATCTCGACTCCAGGACACTCTACCCAGCCTTTGGTTTGAGCTTCTTTTAACTGCCCCTAAAGCTTTGAATTTATTTTTTGCCACCTGGTATCTGACCATCGCCCCTGCCGTCCACCTCTTTTCTTTCTAGTGATGACATTTGAGAGCCCATCTGCCTCAGTTCAGCCTTAAAGCCATAGTTATTTGCAGTGGGGGCTTATAAGTCATGGCATTGTAGTGTAGTACTACCACGTGAGAGTCTCTCAGATTCTGGCAGAGGACTTGAAATTTTGTTTTTGTTGATACAGGGTCTCACTAAGTAGTACAGGTTGGTCTTGAACTTTATGTAGCCCTAGGCTGGTCTCGAACTTGCAGCAGTCCTCCTGCCTCAGCCTCCGAGTGCTGGGAGTGCTGGGATTACAGGAGTGTGCTGCCACACCTGGCAGGCGTTGAGATTTTTAAAGTACTCCCTATCTGAGTTTCTGAACTGAGTTAGCTTTGGCCGACTTGCCATGCAAACCTTCTATTCAGCAACAGGTGGCCTGCTGGTTGGTTCTTCCCTATTGAATCTTTGGCTTCCACAAGAACAGGCTTCTTGTCTCTTCCTTGTGACTTAAACAGCTGATTAGCCGCATGACTTCTCATCCTTGATTAATACGTCTCCTGTTAGTGTGTTCCTCTCTTCAAACTTGGATCTGTTCAGACTTGAATGTATGACTGGAAAGTGAGTTACGGGTACTTGTACATGCAGTTGTTTTTTTTGTTGTTTTGTTTTGTTTTTTGATTTTTTTTTTCCAGTACTGGGAATTGAACTCACAGCCTTGAGCTTGCCAGGCAGGCACTGTGCCGCTGAGCTAAATCCCCAATCCCTGTTAAGAGTACTTGTGAAGATAGTGGTTTCCAGCCTGTTGTGTTCTAGCTCGTCAGTGTTTGTTGTGTTTACTTTGCTTTCTGGCCTGGTACATGTCAGTGAGTAAGGAGTGCTGTAGCCTCACTTGTTTGCATTTGGAAGAGCATGATGATGAGCCCCTTTGCATTCATTCATGAAATGTTTTGAGTCTCTACCATGCATATGTGTCAGGCGTTGCTGGGTGTTGACTCAGGGAAGTCGGCATGGTTCTTGTCCTCAAGGAGTTGTAAAATGGTGAGCGATCGTGGCCAGGCACACTGTTGTGGAATAACTTGGCAACAGAACTTGAGGCATTTGGAAAACGGAGTTATTTTTCCTCTCCACAGGTGAATCGGTAAAATAGTCTTAACTGGAAAATTTTGTTTACGTTAAGTATGAGTATGCTGTGCTCTTGAAAGACAGCAGAAGATAATTTACTGTTTCAGATGATCATGTCTTTTTTTTTTCCTTCGGTTTTTGAGTCAGTGTTAACTATGTAGTTTCTTTTAGGCAGGGGTTGAACTCCCTGTGTAGCCCAGGTTGGCCTTGAACTTGCAGTGATCCCAAGTGCTGTGATTATAGGTGTTGGCCACCACCACAACTGGCTGATTTTGTCTTTTTCTTTTTTTTAGTTCTTTGAGACAAGGTTTCACTGTGGACTTGAGGCTGACCTTGAACTCAGCAATCCTCCTGCCTCAGCCTTCCAAGTGCTAGGATTATAGGTGTGGGCCACCTTGGCCGGCTGATTTTTTTCTTTTGAAGAGTAACCTTCCACGAACTTTTTTTGCTCTAGAGGCATTTTTGTTCATGCAAGAGGAAATCTGTGTCACTGACCTTACACTGCACTGCAATGTCTTTGAGCAGAGACACATTTGGCATGCTGCGTTTTTCCTTCAACTGATACGAGAGCTTACTGTGGCACCTGCCAGTCATGGTTATCAGTCCCATTTTAAGAGAAACCCAATGCCACCCTGTCTCCAGGCTCTTTGGGTCCCCTTCTTTAAAGGAGGATTTGGGTTTTACATTTGTGTTAGAGCTGCACAAGGGGGCTGGGAATATAGCTCGGTATAAGCGCTTGCCTGGCAAGCCTAAGGTCCTGAGTTCGATTCCTGGTTCCAAAAAAAAAGAAAAAAAGAGCTGCACAGGGAAACAAACAGAGGTGCAGTATAAGAGAAGGCACTCTACAAATAGTTTATTAGTATCACCCTCGGGTAATTGCTAGCAGCCACTTGGGCTGATTTCTTTTCTTTCTCTTTTTCCCCCTTTTGTACCAACTGTACCTCATAATCAGACCCCCAAACCCTATAATCAAAGAGCAGTGCCTTCAAGTGTGGCTTTGACTCAGCCTCCTGAGTCTGACTCCACCAAGTGAAATGCAAAATTTTGGTTATTTGATTAGCTTTTTAATCAATCTTCAAAGAGATCTGCACTGTTAGTTAACATTTCATTTTTTTTTTTTTTTTTTCATTTGTCTTTTGTTTTTTGAGACAGAATCTTGCTGTGTAGCCCAGGTTGGCCTTGAACTCACACCATGCACCTAACATTTTAGCCTGTATATTGGGCATTAACTTTTTTTTGGTAGTACTAGGGGTTGAACCAGTTCCTTGTACATGCTAGACAAGCTTTTACCACTGACTTATACCTCTAACCCCATTTATAAATTTTACTTATGGGCTGGGGATATAGCTCAGCGGCACAGCACCTGCCTGGCAAGCACAGTTCCATTAGCGGTACCCCCCCCAAATTATTTATTTATTTATTTATTTTTGTTTTTTGAGACAGGGTCTCTCCATGTAGTGCAGGCTATCCTGGAACTCTCAGTGATACTCCCACTTCAGGCTCCTAAGTGCTGAGATTACAGATGTGCTCCACTACACCCAGCTAAAATTATTTAGAGGCAGGGTTTTGCTAAATTGCCCAGGTTGACCTCAAACTTGGAGCCTCTTGCTTCAGTTTCCCAGGTAGCTGGGATTATGGGTGTGTTCCACCATGCCCTCTGGCATTAACCTTTCAGTGCAAAGATGGACCAGATCCAGACTTTAGGAATGGCAGTCGTCTTATGCACACTGGCCCTCTCTGGAATTTGATAAATGTATTTTAACCTATTTTCCTGTGATAAATGGTCCAAGTCTCCATCCATGTAAATGAGCATTCAAGGCTGAGGCGGCTTTGCCCCGTACTGGCTGGGAGCCGTGGGCAGAGTTTTCCTGGGGAAGTAGGTGGAGGGAGGAGTCCTCGGGCCGGAGGGTAAACAGTGTCCCTAGAGGTTGTCCATGCAGACTGCTGTCCTGCCTCCTCGCTGCTGCTGACGCTGTGCCATCGGAGGCAGCCCTGTTGTTTCTGGGCACCCCTTCCCGTGTCCTCGTACACCTGTCTGGGAATGTTATCTGATGGGGCTGTGCCTGCTGCCTGCAATTGCTGCAGGAACATTTATGTAGCAGGGTGTTCTCTCTCTAGTTATTGCCTCTCATTCTTTCCTGGGTTTTTTTTTTTTTTTTTTTTTTTTGGTCTTTTTGAGACAAGGTCTCCTTATGCAGTTCAGGCTGGCCTTGAACTCACTTTGTAGCTCAAGCTGGTCTCAAAATCGCAATGATCCTCTGGCTTCAGCCTCCCGAATGCTGGGATTACAGGTGTGTACCACCAGGCCTGGCAAAGAATTCTAGCTATATTTTAATTAACTTTCAAATGAGTTCATTCCTTTTTTTTGGTACCAGGGATCAAACTCTGGACCTCATGCTTGCCAGGCAGGCACTGTGCCACTGAGCTGTATCCTTGGCCCCATCTCCTTTCATACATATGGCGTTAAAAGCAGGAAAATAGTTTGCATTTATGCTTTAAAATGTAAACTTTCTCAGCTTCTCAACAGTGGGTGGGGACAGTGGTCTGTGAGTGAAAGGTAGAGGTGATCCAGTAGGGGAAGTCAGAACAGCCTTCTTAGGAGTCTCTGTGACTGGTTTCAATTTTCATACTCGACTGTGATTCCAAAAACAAATTTAAGAATAGCTGCTTGCAAATGTCTCCTTGGGGGAGGAAGAAAGCCTGGGAGTTGGTCCAGTGGTGAGCAGCCTGGGCAGGCGGCTCATTTGCTGGAAGATGCAGGCGGCGCATCTGCTGAGTCGCCCTTGCTGGGGCTTTCTGTTTAGGTGACGTCACCACTGCTAGCGCTCGGCCGGCTTGATTCTGCTGTCTTTTTCTCGGTCGCCTCAGCCTGGGACAGGCTGC